GCGGCCAACAACAGAGATAAAATACAATAACATAAAACAGCATAATTACAACAACAATTAAAAATAGGGAAACAATAAAGGAGAGAAGAAAATCAAAAGTAATCTGGAGAGAAGGCCTGCCGAAACATCCAAGTCTTTAATAGGTTCTTAAAATCAAAATATGAATACACATGAAATGCTGGTCTGTCTTGCACACATGCAATTGCAAACTACAGTACACTGAAATAGTGCAGCGGCTAAAGCAAAAGCAGAAAACCTTTGCTATCTTTGTGAGTTAGCCGAACAAGGAAACAGATTAGAGAAATAGCTTCTTCAATACACAGCAACATTGCCTTTGCAAAGAATTTGATGAATAAGTTCTCCCAGTGGCACTAACACCTGATAGGCACATTGCACGGATTAGAAAGGCAGTTTGAAAAAGTCACCCCAGTTACTGATGCTAGAGGTATATTATCAAATGAAAACACAGAAAAATTTCTCTAAGGAATCTGAGAGTTCTTTGGTGCTTCCTTCAAACAATTATACGTTGTTCTGTACTATCTTAGAAGTACTGAGGCATATCCAGACCTGATTACATTTCTTCTTAGCTCCAAATCAGCAACCCGACTTGGATGGTAAGCAGTTTCTCTTCTTTCCCACTGCTCAAGCACTGATCCAGAGGCAAACAAAGAAGCAGATCCTGCTAAAGAATAATATGCTCCCATTTGTGCAGTATCCTGATGCCCCTTAACTAAGGCATTCTCAATCATTAATATGAATTTTATAGAATTCCAAACCAAAGGAGTAGCATTTCAGAGGGTCATAGCAGGAATTCAGCTGCATTGCTTCGTTTATCACCAGTGGGATGTGAACAGCTAAATCCCTCACATACTGCTTTGAAAATGTCCCACTTCGGGTGTTATTTTTCCAAAAAGGCATTAGACCTTTCATAAGTAAGGACTTAGTAAGGGAAATAGGATAATCTCTGCTAATAACATTTGAAGGGCAAATTTGCTTTCTGAAAAAAAAAATGTAAGAGGAGGCAGAGATCAATATGCATTATCTATGAGAAACATAAAATGCATTATTTTGATTGCATACTTCCTAGTATACCCTGCTCTCTGCTCAGGCCATTTCTTGATATTGTAGGATTGCCGCACACTGGCCTAGGCTGGAAACCATAACTCTGCCCAATCCCTCTCTTCATCTTTCAGTATCTTACACAGTGACACTGCAGGGAGCCAAAACAAAATCTTAAATATTTTTGCACACAGCATGATCTTAATCTTCCATACTTCTAATGCAAGCTTTATCTCTGCAATTAGACAAGTACTATTTATCTGTTTGTACTATATGCCAAATAAGGACACTGGAACCAAGCAACATGCTTGTGGTCCTTTTTATCCATTAACAATCTTCTTGGCTGCAATAGTTATTCTCTTTACACCTGTTCTTCACTTTCAGAAAAACTCATAATTCCTACTTCCAAATGGAACACCATGTTCAAAATCTGATGCTGCTAGTCCTACCATGGGAATGAAATACCTTATCTGTTTTATACTCGAATCCAAATATTGACCTGACTGTTTTACAGTATGTGCCAATGACATTCTCACTGCATGCAACTGTAATGCTAAAGTCTTGTATATAAGAATGCATACAAAACTTCAATAAAAGTCCATCTTTCCCAAAAAGACACCTATCTAAATACAAAAGAAGAGATCCCAGGAAAATATGACGGAGGCAGACAAAAAATTGTCCAATAGATAGAGAGGGGTCTTGGCTGCCAAATCTATCTGGTGACGACTTAATAGCCAAATGAACACACACAAACATACACACAGCAAATATCTAAAGGAGTATGGTTTATCCATCAGAGACAAATTGCATAAACTGTCAGATAGTGCCTAAGACTCAAGAACACAATTCATCAATAATATATATAAAGAAGTACCAAATTCTGTGTCAATATAACAATTCAGCAGCCAATAGAAACAAAATCCTCAGTGAATAATTTGAATAAAATTGTATACGATTTTGGGCAGCTGTGTGCTGGCTCCAAGGTTAATAGCAAGCTCCCAGCCTGGTGAATGCCTTAATGATTTGACATTTACTCTTTCATCTCTTTTTTCATATTTTTAAACATCTGAAACAGGATGCCTAAATGGTTTTTGTTTGGTTGTTTTACAACACAGAAAGGAAGGAAGCCTCAAGAATACATTTGCTACTGCCACAATCTGGCAATCTCTGACTGATTTAATGGAGCCTGAAGAATTTGACAGGAGGTCTAGCATTAGGCCAGGGCTGAACACTCTCTGGATTAGGAAGTGTAAAGGGACCGGCCACAAAATCAGAATGCATACAGGCTCGGCAACACATAAGAGAAGACTGTCATTTCATAGTTGCAGAAGAAAGAGGTTTATAGTCCCAGGCAAGAGTATCTTCGTTTTTAATGCCATCTTAAGACAATCATGCACCAAATGTGTGTTATGAAATGCTGTAAACAATGCCAATTTTCCTTTTTCATTTAGTATCATTCAATAATGGAATCTTACAGATGCAAAATCAAGAGATGTAACCATGTAACTGTACTATATTCATGTGAACCATTCTGTCTGTTACATATTTAAATAGACTTTTTAAAAAAATTCATCAAGGAAATTTATTATATTATCTTAGAGATGTGCTACAATATGTGCAACTCCCACTCTAATATCTTTTATTAAAGCGTATTTCTTATTTAATTAAAAGACTTTAGAAGATTAGTTTTGATTCATTTGGTGAAATGGTAGATACTAATTAGAACAAACAAGGCTGTGAAGCCCCTGAGAAAGCAACAATTCTTTGCAGGAAGAAATAACAAACATGAACAGAATATTAAGTTAATTATCCAAGTTGAAAGGTCAAAAGAAATAGTTCAATTTTAGTTACTTAGCTAAAAAAAATTCATTTCTGAAAATACTTACCACAATATCTTCAGGGAAAGTGTCCCGGCTGAAGGAACCATCATCAAACATGACTTCATAGAACACTTGAGATGTAACTTCTATTACTCTGCAGCTATAGTATCGTGTATTCCTATGTTTTGCTATGACTGTTTGCCCAACTGAGACAGCTTTCTCGAAGGGTTTGGTTTTCTTAAAAAGCAAGGATTAAACACATAAAGTCATTTCAAGCACTGTGCTTGTTACACTGTGTTAACTCTATAGAAAGGTTTCTGTTGTAGCCAATAATGTGGGGAAACCATTGTTTATAGAAGACTTTCAAAAATATTTACACAAGTTTCTAGTTGAGATTCACATTGGGCAATATGTAAGGATGACACATTCATAAGTTTTGGACTGCAACTCCCAGAATTCACTAAGAATTCTCACAAGCAGAATTCTGGGAGATGCAGGCGAAGACTTTCAAAAATATTTACACAAGTTTCTAGTTGAGATTCACATTGGGCAATATGTAAGGATGACACATTCATAAGTTTTGGACTGCAACTCCCAGAATTCACTAAGAATTCTCACAAGCAGAATTCTGGGAGATGCAGGCAAAAACCTGCAGCTTACATAGCAACTTTCATTAGCTATACTGTACATAGGTCTCTGTTGCTATTGCTTGCCATTCAAGAAGAAGGAAACTGTCTTTGTGCTACCTGGGAGTCACAGTGTCTCATGGGATAGGCTGTTCTTTAAGAGGTACCATTTATAGATCCTAATGGACAGTGAAATTGCCCATCCCAGGAAACCTTGTGACTCCCCAGCAACACCTCGTCAGTTTCCTTCTTCCTCAAAAGTGAACAATGGTGGCCCACATCGGATAATCAAAGCTGTTCTATGAACTGCAATATTTTGGCTATATCTTCCAGAATTCTTCCTGGGGGAGTATCTGGCAAATTCTGGGAACTACAGTCCACAAAATCTGAAAATCCCATTCCCAGTAATATGTGTGGCATTAAGTGTTTTATTGATGTTTTAAAAGTGCTTTTAAAAGCCATCCATTTGGAAGATACAGTGGCAGATTTCACTCATGGCCTCTCCTCTCCCAGTTTACCTCCTCCTCAGCCCTCCTTTTATCTGCTATAAAGCCTTCTTCAAGGAGAAAATATTTGTGTCAAAGTATACAATCCAGGGAGCACATAATTAGAAGAAGGCATTCCTTCCATGTCGGAAACATCAGTTGTGACAGCAAGAGCTTTTCACATATCCTGTTTTATGCAAATAAGATAAAAGGTATACAAGAATTAAGTAACACAAATACTTACCACAGTTTGACTGATTTTGTGCCTGAAACATGTGATGTAGACAACATAAGGCCAGTCATCTGGTTCCATCAGCACTCCCGCAGCATGGGCACATGTAACGTGGAATGAAGCTGGACATCGTCCATAGGAACATTGGATGCAGGCACCAGATATTTTCTTAATCCTTTGTCTGCAGAAGATACATTTCTACAGGCATAAAATAAAATTCACAATGGATTTGGCTTTAAATACCTGTCCTTCTAAGTTGTTTAGTTGCTTATGCGTTTTTCAGGTTTTAATCCAGAGAAATTTACTATCAAGGATATGAGAAGATGTACATCTTGAGGAAACTGAACAAATTAGTACATCAGTAATTGTTTGAGTTTAGTGAAAAAGCAATTTGTTCTATACACTAAATTACGTTGGGGGATTTTTAAAGCTAGTGTTGTCATTTGTTGGTGTAATATTAGGGCCATGATTTGAGAAGAATAAAGGAAGCCTTTCTACCAGCTGTTCAGACAATGTCTGAATACACACACACACACACACACACACACACACACACACACATATGTCATATTTTAATTATACTTCCACATTTTATTTGATATGGAGAGGGGACAAAGAAATTGATCATTAATTTCAGAAATCTCCAGCTTTATATGAGGAAGTCTGGATGGTGCAGATTTTGCTGTCAAACATAATGCTACAGGACAGTGGTTCCCAACCTTGGGTAATTTGGAATACAATTCCCAGAAACCCCAGCCAGCACAGCTAGTGGTGTAGGGTTCTGGGAGCTCCAGTCCAAGAACACCTGGGTTACCCAAGGTTGGGAACCACAGCTACAAGATGATTTGCAAATGTTAAAATTCTATTCACTTCCCTAAGCTCTGCTAAGTCTCAGAATCAAACTAAATGCTACAAAGAGCTCATTGTTCAAAATGACCGTTCATGGATAAGTCAGTGGTTTAGGTATCTCTCTGCAGAGGCAGAGGCTGGGGATTTGATTCCTCACTGTGCCTTCTGTGAGCAGAGCCAGCCTGTGAGTAGAACCAGTCTTGGGCAAGCTGCATAGTCTCAAGATGCCCCCAGAAGAAGGGAATTGTAAACCACTTCTGAGCATTCTCTACCTGGAAAACTTCAAAAGGGTCTACATAAATCAGCACATCGTTGTTAAGTGTTAGAGGATGTTTCATTGTCAACAAACAAGCTTCTCTGATTGTTCGCTCCACATTAATAAGGCTGGAGTGTTTTCATTGTTGTGAGTTAAAACATGGGCTTTTTTCACATTACTGTATCTTTTTCTAGTATCTTCCACTTTTCCTAGTATTATTGTCTTTTCAGGTGAGTCTTTATCCAAAGTCAAATAGACTCAGTTTTAGTTATTTACATATAGAATCAACAGATGAGTAGATAAAATAGACCCTTGCCTGACACCTTTTCTGGCTGGAAAGCATTTTGTTACTTGCATATTTTTTCCTAACAGTAGCCTTTTGTCCACAGTATAGGTTATGTATAAAACAATGCAAGCCCCCCTTTCTTTTAGAATGCAATTTTTCATAATCAACAGAATTTAAGGCTTTTCTTGTAACCCATACAGCATAAACTGATATTATTCTGAAATCTTTGGTATTCTCTAGCAACCAGGTTATTACCGGTATATGCTATATGATTTCTAAAGCCTCTTTCTTTTCTGAATCCAGCTTGAACACCAGTCATTTCTTAATATACATATTGAACATTTCCAATCTGCAGGCCATTATTTTGTTTTCATTTTTGTTTTCATCTTCTTGTGAGCATTCTGGTAAGTTCAATCTATGTAGTGAGGAATAGTTCTATTGGTATCTCATCTATGCCTGTTTATTTCCTCCAACAGCTTCGAGCAGCTTTTATTTCGCTCTGTAAAACTTCAGATTCTTCATCAAAGGATTCTACTTTAAGGATATTTCTCACATTTTATGTTCCAATCACAAGCACCAAATTAAGAATTCACTACAAATATTATCTGTTGTGTACTGAGTCGTACATCTTGATGTACAGTAGATAATGTCTACCGTTATTTCTTAACTTGAGGCAGTTTACCTCTGAAAGTTGCATTGTTTATGTTATGCCAGCAAAAAATCCAGAATGGATTTTGGCCAGTGAAGCTTACTTTACAATTGCACTATCATTCTGATATCTAAAAGATAGCAGAGTAGATGGATAACATATGGAGATGAATGTGGATGTCAGCACAAAAAATTATCTCTCCTCAGTGGCCATCTGCTTAAATATGAGGGCTGCAGATACTCCGAATGAAGCTTCAGTTGGCACAATATGGAGACTGTAAAAAAATTCCAATTTTTAATTTATTTTCTCCTTATAAAGGTAGGGTAAGGTAAGGTAAGGGGCAACTGGGGTAAGGAGACCCTCGGAGGGGGTGGATTTGAATTTCCAGATGCTATTCAGAAGCAACACCACATATAATAGGCTGCCATAATCTAACACAGGAGTCATCAAGGCATAAATAACCATGGGAAGATGACATTTCTGAAAGAAAGATTTCAGTTAATGTGGTGAGCCAGACATGGAAAAGTTGCCAGAATCGTGGTTCAGTTTCATCATCCTTAAGCAGGGCCATTCTGACAATATCCCCAAGCTATATAAAACCAATCTTTAAAAGGGAATGCAATCCTATTTAGAATATGTTGGTTACCCCATTCATGGTAAATTGAATAATCTGTCAAGAGCTCCTGTTTTGAACTGGGTTTCAGTTTATTGGTCCTTTCTCTTTGGTTAGCCAACATAAAAGTAAAGCAATAAGCATATGCATTAATTTAATAAATATCAGTCTCTAATTTATGGTACTTCAAATATGTAGGGGTTTGCTACAAAGGAGAAGCAGATACATTTGGTTTATTACATCAACAAAGAAAATCAAATGCAACATATTAGTTGAAACAAATGTTTAAAATTATAACAGAAATGAAGTTGATAGTGACTTTTAAAATTATAACAGAAATGAAGTTGATAGTGACTTGCAAATGACTTAATTAATTTCTGCTTTTTCTACTTGACAAAACAGCAAAATAATTGTTACTACAATGCATTAGTGCTGACTTTGGGCACCTCTGAAAGCTGCAATATCTCTGCTGCCCACTGTTACTTTAAAAGCTAATCAAATATCTTCATATCAGAGCCCAATGTATTGCGCCCAATATATTGTGCCATTTATGCTTTATAGTTTCTGTACCACAGCAAAGAAAATGTCACATGAACAGTAATCAAAACTTTTTTAAAGAAGAATGACAAACTCAGGACAAACTCCAAGGTCCCCAAAGTATTCCATTTACTGTAAGATGTCTACTCTCAATGAAGCAGGTCATAGACTGAGCTAGGAACACACGCAGGTTGTGTAAGTTGCCTGTTCTCTCAAAACCAGAAATTTTATTTTGTCTCATAAGCATTTCACAATATTTTAGCATTCGTATACAGACTGACAGATTTCTGAGAGCTAGAAAAAAAGGTGCCAAAATGTGCAAACAAAAACAATGCATATATACCTAATAACTGCAGAATACATATACCTAATAACTGCAGAAGAACTCTTCTATAAACTGATTGTCAAAGCTTTCTTTTTCCTTCAAAAAATTAATATTATTTAAAATATAAACAAATTATCTGTAGCGGACAAAAAAGCTCTACAGAGAACCATTAAAATTGCCCAGAATATCATCGGGCTCCAGCTACCAACCCTGGATGACATCTTCACATCCCGCTGTCTAAGGAAATCACATAGCATCCTGAGAGACTCTTCCCATCCTGCTTATAACTTTTTTGAACTGTTACCATCTGGCAGAAGATATAGAACAATTAAGACTCGGACCACACGTTTTCTCAATAGTTTTTATCCCAGAGCTATAATTGCAATTAATAATGAGCTATATATCATCTGCAAATCTATTGAGGCGATCCCAGCAATACCTCTTTCCAACTTTCAGATTAGATCTGTATCATCCTTAATGCAAAGCACATATTACACACATATTGGGCTCTTATATCAACATCCTGCTTATTCAAAATTGTAAGGAGGTGATGGACCACCAGAATAATGCAATACTAATTTAAAGGACATGTTTTCACACAAAGTGTCTGCTAAGTTATTGAGACGTAGAAAAGCTCAGAGGTTCTGAGCCTTCAAAATTAGAGTAGAAGTGGAAATTTTAGCAGCTGTGGTTTGTATGAAAAGCAACTCTTCCACAAATGTTTGTTACATACAGCACTGATGTTACCTGTCTGTCATGGGTTTGGAGGGAAAGTTCCATCCTATGGGGAGTGGAAGGCGGGACATCAGGAGGAGGGGCTGTACTGTATATATATGTGAAGCCTGTGTGGAGAGCTGAAGGAGAAGCTGGAGAAGAGCTGAGAGAAGAAGCTTGAGTGGGAGTCTGTGTGTCAGACAGGGTACTACTGTGTGTCAGTCAGTACCAACCTGATAGGTTCAGGTGTCTGTATGGTTAGCCAGAACTGATAGGTTCAGGGTCTGTGCTTCAAGTTAAGTGTTCTGTGTGAACCAAACTGTGTGTATGTATGATTGAGACTAAGCCACGTTACTGTATCTTATTCACCTGATCATTTTATTTTCCCTGTGTGTTATTTAATAAACCTTATTCCTTTGTTTGTTTAAAAATCCATCCCTGGTCTGTGTGACTTCTTATAGGGAATGGTTGGTGGCAGCTTAGTGAAACTGTGGCATATCCCAGTAGGTCTGGGTTTGTCACAATGTTCTCATCCACACAACTGCCAAAGTTGGAAGACTTTTATCTTCTTTCTCATCTTCCTATCCCTGTGACTATGCATTACTATCATGAACACCAACCTTGGAATAATGATCAGGAGAAAGTATGCAGGTCTATGCCATTTATACATGTGTGTCACTATATGTATGCTGGCAGTGCTGTCTTTTATGCTATAGAATGTTTCATTAAATTTTGAGATGGGTAGCACTGTTAATTTGTAGTCTGTTGCAGCACTGTTAATTTGTAGTCTGTTAATTTGTAGTCTGTTGTAGTTAATTTGTAGTCTGTTGCAGCAAAGTTAACAAAGAGTCCTGGGGCACTGTAAAACATAACAGGGTTTTATTTGGCAGAAGCTTTCCTCTGAAGAAGTGGGCTCAAGACTATAGAACCTTACAATCAAATAAAATCTGTTGGTTTTTAAGATGCCAC